AGAGTTTTAAATTGAATCAAATATAATATATTGTTTATTAAATAATTTAAATAATTTGATCAAATTAGGTTAGATTAAGTCAGATCGGGTCAGGTCAGGTCAGGTCAAATGAAAATTTAAATCAGGTCGAATTTTTGTTTAACCTGAACTGATCCTCTCAGTTCAGATAACTTGATTAACCCGACCTGAACCAACCTGTTCAGAGCTCTAGTTTCGGTAATAATCATTCTAAAATAAAAAAAAAATGAACTTATCTTTATTCATTAAGGCGCTGTTTTGAGGTAAATGATATTTTTAAAAAAAAAAATTTTTTTTAATAATGGTTTTAGAAACATTACTAACGTTTCTTATTTCTTTATTTTTAGAGAAGCTTCTTGGATAGCTCTGGATGGTTCCTGAACAGTTCTTGGATAATTCTTATTAGGCGAATCTTGACTGGTAAGTTTTTTTGAATGAATAGGTGATATTAATGACGTTAACAAACAACTCTAACGCCTTCTTTTATTTAGGTCTTTTGGACACTCTTGGACATTCTTGAATGGTTCTTCTTGGACTTAACGGTCGATAAGTAATATTAAAGGTTCTGATAGTATTAGAAAATAACACTAATATCTTTCTTTTTTTTAGGTTATTCGTTAGAATCGAACCAACTGGAACTATGCCCAAACCATTAACAACAAATAGTAAGCTTATTTGAAAAATATAAGGTTTGTCAGGAAAAATAGGTTATAATTTTTGTGAGAGATGTTGGAGTTACAAACTTAAAAGATACGGTAGCTGCCGCGTTAGTATACTATGTGGTATATAGAGTCTACGAAATAATATAGGTGGTTTGCATTTTCCAAATCGCCAAGTGTTCTACAAAAAATTATAAACTCAAATTATTACAGAAATATACTTTGAATAGGAAGCAAACACATTCATGCGTCATTCAAAATGAACTAGACTTATGGGAAAGATATCAATAATGCTTTACGTATTCATAACGTAGATGTAAGTGTTGTTATTAAGATTATTTTTATTTTGACTATTTACTTACATTATAATTTTTATTAATAGCCATTATACGGTTTTAGTCTGAATGACAATTCAAAATTCTAATGTATCATGACTAATCAACACGACTTCTTATATGTTAAAGATGATAAATATGAATTCAAAAATATTATTAGTTCAGCAATGCTCAGAGTTTCTACCAATGTGAAAAACCTCATCAATAGGATCAGAAATAAGTTATATTAATGGAAAAGAGATTGTTGAGCTCTTTTTTTGAATTAAACAAATTATTAACATTTTCTACCATTTCCTGAAAGTGATTTTTTTAGGATAATTATTACCCTTTTTACGTGTAATGCTTTATAGTATTCCTGATTTTTAATAATTGTATTTATTTATTCTTAATAGAATATTTATTTTTTTTATAATTTCTTAAGATTCCATATTTCAAAAGTGTAAATAACTTTCAGATGCAATTTTGAAGATACTTTAACAACGATTTAATAAAATTTTTATATTTAATATATCAAAAATGATATTTATTAGATTTGATCATTACATAAATAATTGTCCAAAACTTGTCCAATTAAAATAAGTTTTAGTTTTGAATATATTTTAGATACAATTTTAGACAATTGTTCAAAATATTAAATTATCCAATTTTCTATCACTGTCTTAGATCGTTTAGAAATAAGTCTTTTGATGAAAATCCAAATACTAAATTTCTTACCTTTTTGTAGATACCACCTTCTTCAAGACTTAGATCTTTCGAAGGTAAGTCTATGATGAAAAAAATTATTTAATGTTAATTTATTTTTTATAAAAAAAGAAAATTTTTTATAAAAAAAAAGATCACTAAATTAAATTCCTTATCTTTTTGTAGATACTGGATTCTTCAAACCTTAGATTTTTCAAAGGTAAGTCTATAATAGAAAAAATTTAATTTATTTTTTTTATAAAAAGATCATTAAATTAAATTTCTTACTTTTTTATAGATATCAGATTCTTCAAACCTTGAATTATTTGAAGGTAAGCCTTATAAAAGAAAAGCTTTAATGTTAACTATTAAAATATTTTTTTAAAAAAGATCAATAAATTTAATTTTTTACTTTTTTGTAGATACTGGATTCTTCAAACCTTGGATCATTAAGAAGTAAGCTCTTTAATAGAATTAATTAATATTAGTTTATTTTAAAAAAAATTCACAATACTAAATTTCATACCTTTTGTAAATACTGCCTTCTTCAAGCCTTAGATTGTTTGGAGGTAAGCCCTATAAAGAAAAAAAATTATTTAATGTTAATTTATTTTTTATAAAAAATGATCACTAAATTAAATTCCTTACCTTTTTGTAAATACTGGATTCTTTAAGCCTTGAATCATTCAGAGATAAGCCCTTTGATGAAAATAATTATTTTAATTTTTTTAAATAAAAAAATCTAAATACTAAATTTTTTACCTTTTTGTAGATATTGCCTTCTTCAAAACTTAGATTTTTTGGAGGTAAGTCTATGATAGAAAAAATTTAATTTATTTTTTTATAAAAAAAAGATCACAATTAAATTTCTTACCTTTTTGTAAATATCAAATTCTTCAAGCCTTAGATCATTTGAAGATAAGCCCTATAAAGAATAAACTTTAATATTAAATATTAATATTAAATATTTTTTAAAAAAAGATTAATAAATTCAATTTTTTACCTTTTGTAGATACCGTCTCCTTCAAGATTTAGATCGTTTAGAGGTAAGCTCTTTGATGGAAATAATTAATATAATTTTTTAATAAAAAAATCCACAATACTAAATTTCTTACCTTTTTATAGATATCGCTTTCTTCAAAACTTGAATCTTTCAAAGATAAGCCTTATAAAAAAAATTTTTTAATGTTAAATGTTAATATTAAATTTTTTTTTATTAGATATCAGATTTTTAAGTTTAAATTATTCAGAGGTAATTCTTTGATTAAAAAATTAATGTTAATTTATTTTTTTATAAAAAATTTCATTAAATTAAATTTCTTACCTTTTTGTAGATTCTGGATTCTTCTAGTATTAGATCATTTGATAGTACTATAAATAAACTTTAATGAAATTCACTGATAATACACACACTGAATTATTTTTTAATGCAAATTTATTAATAATTGACGAACAAATTCAAAACAGATAGTAGACTATTGATTTTATTAAATTCATATTTCAAGATTAATACTAATGCTTTTCATGATTTACATTAATCTCTAATTAGATTTTTTAAATATATTCCTAATTATTATTTTATATTAAAAAAATAGAGATTTGATACATGAAGTCTGTATGCTACCTGTAATAAAAGTAAAATAATAAATTATTAACATTCACTATTAATTAAAAATAGATAAAATTTAATCAAAAATTGTATTTACTATATTTTAATAAAATTTGTGTACTAACTGTAATAAAAAGTGAAATAATGAATTATTAGAGACATTACTATTGATAAAAATGTATATAATTTATAAAAAATCGTACCTAATATGTTATGTATAAAATAAATACATTACTTTTCAGTATATGTATTATTATTAAACATCCTTTCTACTAAATTATCATTTCTTTTCAAAAAAATCAAAGCTTTAAATAAATCCTTCTTCATACTTATTCTTTTTGCTGACATTATTAATTCATCATCACTAAAAGCCCTTTCACTTACTTCAGACATTACTTGAATAACTAAATATTTATGTTCTAATTGAGCTAAAATTGGAAATTGCCCCTTATTAACATCCTACTATTTTAAAGGATCTTGATTATTTTGAGCTTGTGTTATTACTAAATATCTTTCAATCTCATCATCTTTAATTTGAGAATCATTAATTTTATCATCAGAAAATAAAGATCTCTTATAAACTTGTACTTTTGATATTTTTCTTTTTTTGGTTTTAAACTATGTGATTCTTGTTGAAAATCAATATTATTTTTTGCTAACTCATATACTTTATAAAGGCTAGTTTTTGCTAATTCTTTTTGATCATTAGTTACAAATTTCAATTTTTTTTACACGGATCTAATAAAGCTGCAATTAAAGCTTCCTTTTCAATCACTTTATAATAATATTCAAGTGCTTTATAAAGATCTGCTTTAATTTTATCCAAAAAATCAAAGGTATTAATAGAAGTATTTATTTGAATTTTTCGTTTAGCTTCAAGTTCATCATCTTCGTTAACTTCTTCAAATTGATGTTCTTTAAATACATTATCATTTGTTTCTAAATCTACATTACTATTATAAAATTCTTTAGTTAGACAAAAGAGTTTTTTGAGTTTAGTAATACCTGAATATATATAATTCATCATTGCATATTTTATATCCTCTAATTTTTCTGTTAATTCTGCAAAAGATTCTAAAATTTCAAGTAAATCTCTTATAGCATCCCACTCATCACTAGTAAGATTAATTTTTTTAACCTTTTTGCATCTTCTTTAGCATCACGATATTTACTTATATTTAATGAAGAAATAACAATTTCAATTTAAGGTTTTAGAATTATTAATCTTTCTCATGCTATAAATGTGCTTGACCAACATATTTCAACATTTATAATTGCCTATAAAAAACCATTTGTAAATCACTTTCCTCTTCTGGATTTTCTTCAGAATTTTTTTTTAGACGTTCATTTTATTTGAATGTAGTGAAAAACTTGATTAATCTTTTTGCATATGCAATTAAAACTTTAGCAATAAGCAACTCTTTTCTAACAACAGTTGAATTGTGTGTGCGATATATGATAATCATTTTAAAAAAGTAATTTGATTAAAACATTTATTCATATTAGAAGCATTATCTATCATACAAAAGAAAACTTTGTTTTGTAATTCCCAATCAAAAATAACTTTTTCTAATGCACTTTGAATAGCATTTCCTGTATGTGAATACAGCATATATTAAATAATTAAAGTTATTTCCTTTATCTCAAAATCTGATGTAATAAAATGATATGTAATACCAAGAAACCCTTGCTTACTATGAGAAGTCTAAAGGTTACAAGTCAATAAAACTGAATTTGCATTCTCATAAATATATTGCTTTAGATACCTTTTTGAAAATTCATATGCTTCAAAAATTCTTTTTCAAAATTCTTTATCAGTTGAAAGTTCAAAGTTTTTATTTAATACATTGATAAATTTACAAAAAGAAGGAGATTTTAAAAGATAAAGTAGTTAAAAATCTAGAATAAGCTATTCAAAAAAAAGAGTTTCTAAATGTTTTTGTCGATCTTGTGTCATTTGTGAAAGTGAATCTGATAAAATAGTATAACAATCAATTTTAATTTGTTTTAAAGATGATATAGCTTTTTAAAGGTATAGAATATTCATAAATTTTATGTTTTCATCTAAGATGACTAATAATATTATCAGTTGAACCTGATGTCTTTATTTTTGCTATACAAATTTCACTACTATCTAATGGTTGATTGCATTCAAATATAAATTTTTTTGAATCTTTTAGATGAATTTTTCTTTCACCTAATTATATATCCAACTACAAAGTTTGAGCCTCCTTTACTTTTAATTTGAATATTTAATGAATTAGTTTTTTCTTCTGATTTTTCAAAGATATTTGTTTCCTTTTCTGAAATATTATCATCAATTATATCAATATAATTAATATTATCATTATTTTTAAACAATGAACTTTTTACTAAAGTTTTTTCAGTTGACATATTTAGAAATAATATTTATAAATAGGTTCTTCGTTTCTTTAATCTTATTTCTTTTTATTCTTTTAAATGAAAAAAAATGTGTTATTTATACGAAAAAAGAATTAAAATTTCTATTTTATATAATGTAAATACTGATCATTATATTTATTCTAGAATAATCTGAATAATCCTAAGATTTATCCATTTGTAGATTTGTAGATCTGATTAACTATTTAAATATTATTCAGATAATATAGATAATAAAATAATCTGAATTTATTCTAGGATATTATCTGTTCAAGAAAAGCTCTATTTCTTTGGTTGGCTTCTTATTATTTCTTGATACCATCAAAAAAATAAATATTTGTTATTAGCCCTGTTCAAATTTAATCTATTTTGATCTGATCCAA